GTAGCTATTATAGTTCCGAGATAAGTACCATATACCTATCCGGACACGTGCTTTTATTATGTAACCCTTTATATCTCGCTTTATATATTCCATCGAAAAACATAGTTTTCCTGATTGATCCATTATCATTGTGTTGCCAAGTATATTTTCCTTCGTGACCTATATTTTATTAGCTACGGAAAACTTCATATATGAGAGAAATAGCATTGAATGGCACAACAAACAAAATGATAGTGCAAAATAATTGGTGGATTCTAGTGCATTTTTATGACAGTCACTTTGGTTTCAATCGAGTTGGCAACGTTAACAATCAGATATAAAACTAAAACCTGTGTGTATAAGCTGATTAAATGTTCGCTGATATCTATAATGTCTATGAACAGTGGCGCCGCATTATTTTTTCTAGCGGGCGCAGAGTGCAGACATTACTGAGTTTAAATCAAAAAACAAATTGAGACAACTCTTAGGTAATCGGATTTCATCCATGCTGAATATTTTAGTTCTCCAATTCAGACATAGCTTAGGAACCTTGTGATTAAACTTTTTCTACTCACATAACTACTCGATAACTACTCATAACTAAATTGGCATTTAGCGCTAACCTATCGATTAATCAGTAATCACGGATTGATGATCTGTAATTTACGAGGTAATTCATTCAAAAAATTGAACACGTTACCATGGCAACAAAATTTCTTGAACACATTACCATGGCAACAGAGTTTGAGTTTTTTAAATACACGCACACCTTCAATCGTTCGAGTCCTGTCTCGAGTCCTGTCCGCCCTGTCAATTGTAGGAACTGTCAACTGTCATTTTCGAATTTCGTTGCAATCAGAATTATTCAAACAATTTCTGTTTGTATCAGAATTCTTCAACGAAAGTATGCGAAATTTTGACGAAAGTGAAATCGAACACAATTTTTTAGGTAGGTACTTGCATATTGCCAAGAACTATAGGTAAAAATTAAGCTCTCATCTTTGTGGGCAATTCATTCTATGCTTAGCATGACAGTAAACGTAAAACACAATATTCATGTGAGCAAAATTATGCAATCAGAATATAGATCCTAAAACCTGAGAAACCGAAAACTTTGACACCTCAGCGAATCGAAGAGTTTTTATCTACTACGTCAAATAGAATCTTATTCACAAAGGTCAGTAAACAAGCCATTCCATGTATCCTATGGACTGGACGCACATCTTCAACCAATATAACTTATACAGGTTAACTAATTTTTGGAATTATGGGATCTTATCGAAGAGAGGAATTATGAGTTCGTAGAAAAGGTATAGTTTGTAACGCGTTGAACTCTTCTGGACACTCGTTTATGCTCTGCTCTGCTGCGTCCGTGCTTAAAATACTCGTTACTAACATGACTGTGAGTACCCGGAAACGGTTCAAAATATATATTGCCAATAAATTCTGTGACAAAATTGTATACATATTGGGAAACAGGTAAGTAACGACTCTGGAATCACAGACTCAAAAAAATCATGGCACTAGATAAATTGACGATGATTCTTCTACAATGACGTTTATAACACACATACGCAATAAACTATCACTCTTCTAGTTACTAGTCTGAAAACATATTCAGGTGATGTGATAGACAAAAGTAAAATTTTCTGGGGAAATATAATTTGCTGATCAAAATTATTGAAGTATGCTGAACAAGCATTTCTGGTTCGAATTTTTTCGTCAAATTGCATATTTGAATATTCTATATGAATATATAGATGCCACCAGTAAAATAATTCCGATCCACCCCTTCAGAGGGGTAGTTTATTCTTGTAGTTTTTCAAAAATCCTTGCTGACCGAGCATTTCTGGTTCGTATTTTTCCACCAAATTACATATTTGAATATCTCATATAGATTTATAGATGCCACCAGTGGAATCATCTCGATCTACCCCTCTAGAGGGGCAGTTCATTCTAGCAGTTTTTCAAAAATCCTCGCTGACCGAGCATTTCTGGTTCGTATCTTCCATCAAATTACGTATTTGAATATCTCATATAGATTTATAGATGCCACCAGTGGAATTATCTCGATCCACCCCTTTAGAGGTGTAATTTATTTCTGTTTTTCGAAAATCCTTGCTGACCGACCATTATGGTCCGTATTTTTCCATCAAATCACCCCCCTGAAGGGGTGGATCGAAATAATGCCACTGGTGGCATGAAAAAATACAAACCAGAAATGCTCGATCAGCATAGATTTTTGAAAATCTGCAAGAATAAACTACCCCTCTGAAGGAGTGTATCGAAATATTTCTACTGGTGGCATCTATAAATCTATATGAGATATTCAAATATGTAATTTGATGAAAAAATACGAACCAGAAATGCTTCGTCAGCAAGGAATTTTGAAAAACTGCAAGAATGAACTACCCCTCTGAAAGAGTGGATCGAAATAAATCTACTGGTGGCATCTATAAATCTATATGAGATATTCAAATATATAATTTGATGAATAAATACGAACCAGAAATGCTCGGTCAGCAAGGAATTTTAAAATACTGCAAGAATAAACTACCCCTCTGAAAGGGTGGATCGAAATAATTTCACTGATGGTGGCATCTATAAATCTATATGAGATATTCAAATATGTAATTTGATGAATAAATACGAACCAAAAATGCTCGGTCAGCAAGGAATTTTGAAAAACTGCAAGAATAAACTACCCCTCTGAAAGGGTGAATGGAAATAATTTCACTGGTGGCATCTATATATTTATATGAGATATTCAAATATGCAATTTGAAGGGACAATTCGAATCAGAAATGCTCGGTCAGCAAGGATTTTTGAAAAACTGCGAGAATAAACTTCCCTTCTGAAAAGGTGGATCGAAATAATTCTAATAGTGGGATCTATAAATCTATATGAGACATTCAAGTATGTGATTTGATGAATAAATACGAACCAGAAATGCTTGGTTAGCATGGAATTTTTGAAAAACTGCAAGAATAAACTACCACTCTGAAGGGGTGGATCGAAATAATTCCACTGGTGGCATCTATATATCTATATAAGATATTCAAATATGCAGTTTGAAGAGAAAATTCGAATCAGAAATGCTCGGTCAGCAAAGAATTTTTGAAAAACTGCGAGAATAAACTACCCCTCTGAAGGGGTAGATCAGGATGATTCCACTGGTGGCATCTATAAATCTATATGGGATCTTCAAATATGTAATTGGATGGAAAAATACGAACCAGAAATGCTCGGTCAGCAAGGATTTTTGAAAAACTGCTGGAACAAACTACCCCTCTGAAGGGGTGGATCGAGATAATTCCACTGATGGCATCTATATATCTGTATGAGATATTCAAATATGCAATTTGAAGAGAAAATTCGAATCAGAAATGCTCGGTCAGCAAGGATTTTTGGAAAACTGCATGAATAAACTACGCCTCTTAAGGGGTAGATCGAGGTGATTTTACTGTTGTCATGTAGAAATCTATATGAATTATTCAAATATGTAATTTGATGGAAAAATACGAATCAGAAATGCTCGGTCAGCAAGGATTTTTGAAAAACTGCGAGAATAAACTTCCCTTCTGAAAAGGTGGATCGAAATAATTCTAATAGTGGGATCTATAAATCTATATGAGACATTCAAGTATGTGATTTGATGAATAAATACGAACCAGAAATGCTTGGTTAGCATGGAATTTTTGAAAAACTGCAAGAATAAACTACCACTCTGAAAGGGTGGATCGAAATAATTTCAATGGTGGCATCTATATATTTATATAAGATATTCGAATATGCAATTTGAAGGGAAAATTCAAATCAAAATCAAATCAAATATTATCTATAAAATTATAAAATGCCTCAAAATGTAAGTACCTACGTGAAAACAACACACAAATTAAAAATGTAAAAAAAATGCAGTCACATAAACAGTTCATTGATATCATAAAATAGATTTGCCATCAGAAAATTTTTAATGGAATTTCGGAACTTGGAGTGTGATGATTGATTCTTTATCTCTTCAGGTAATTGGTTATAGACTCTTATGCCAGTTGAAAGTGGACCACTCGATGATATTTGAAGGTTATTTTGACTTGGATATATCAACTGGTTGTATCTGGTTTGATAGCAATGTATGTCCATATGCCTAGGAAGAGTGTTTCTTATTTTATGAATGTAACATGCTAATTCCATTATATAGAGACATGCTAGGGGTAATATATTCAACTCAGCAAATAGGGGTTTACAAGAGAGTCTGGATGATATGCTTTTCATGGTTCTCAGTGCTTTTTTCTGTACTAGGAATAATTGCTGTGCCGCTGGAGAATTACCCCATAGTAAAATGCCATAAAGTGAAGTGGACTGAATTTCTGCAAAGTAAAAATTTCTCATACAATGAATGTCAACAACCTTCTGCATACATCGAATTTGAAATATTTTTGTATTTATCATTTTGATTTTATTAGATATATGATCTTTCCAACTGAGATCATCCTCCAGAGTTATTCCGAGAAACTTTACTGTTTGTTTCCTATTGATTTCAAAGTCATCTAATTTAATTGTGATCGGATTGTGAATAATTCTCTGTCTAGTATGAAAGATCAAATACTCCGTTTTTTCGGTGTTGAGAAATAACTGATTCGCCGAAAACCATTCACCAAGTTTATGGAGAAGACGATTATATGCTGTTTCATTCTGTTCACTACACTCTTGTGATACTAGAAAAGATGAGTCATCGGCGTGCAGTGTAAATTCGAATCAGCAATGCTCGGTCAGCAAGGAATTTTGAAAAACTGCAAGAATTAACTACCCTTCTGAAAGGGTGGACCGAATTAATTCCACAATACAAGAGATTCAAGATTCAAATATGCAATTTGAAGAGAAAATTAAATCAGAAATGCTCGGTCAACCTACTTTAATTTTGGTCAGCAAAATATACACCCCCAAATTTTCTCGAGGAAAACCATTTGGACTCGGAATTTTATTAGTAATTAGTCTGAGGAGAGGAGGACCGCCTGGGGGGGGGGACGCTGCTCTGATGGCGCCGCCTATGCTTCCAAAGTGGGCGACGGTTTGATCGACTCGACTAGCGAACGAGTGACGTCACTATCTAGTAAATTTATATTTACGGCGGCAACTCGACAAGGAGAACGAGATCATTCACGGCGGTCGAGCCACGACGGTTGCGGATTTTTTGCTTCACAATGGGCAGATTCTCGTCCATTCAGGTTTCACAGCCCTTCGTCCGATAACACCCTGTGTGTGAGTGTGTGTTACGTCACTGGCGATACAACGTGTGGTGCGGTCCGGTGGGCTAGTGGGTTTTTGGTGCGGGACTGGATTTTTCGTTTGTTTTTGTTGTTTTTTTTTAATTTTGGACAATGAGCACCACCACAGAAGTGACCAAGCTGCAACCTCGATCTAGGAAAATTAGCGCGGTGAGTTCTGGAAAGTGTGGAAAATTGAGGGAAAATCTAATGAAGGTTATAGTGTTCTTACCTACTTATGTTGTGGTTTTAGACTTTGGATTTATGTCAATTGGAATCGAGCTTGGAACTTTGAAATCCAATCAGTACACATATTATTTCAATTCATTTCAATGTATATAAAATGTATATATGCTCATAATTCGAGTCAAAATTCAAACCTATACGTACGTTTTTGTCGATAATCCCAGACAATAGACCGATCCAACAACCAAAATCCCATTAGTTTCCTAATTACCTATTACATAAGTATATTCAACTATGGATATTTGAATAATATATGGGTATATATATATATACTTAGGATGATAAAGGACGTGTTTGGATGTGCCTATTCTCCAAGTTATAGAGGGTTTTCCTTCGGGTTCTCGTGGATTTTCCCTCGAATTTTCCCATGAATTTGTTGAATCACTTCTAATTAATGCTCATGGTGAATAAACCCAAGCACGTTTTTTTCTTCTTATTTAGTAATACTGAGATTTATACCTACCTCGCTCGACCTACCTACTTCTTAATTATTCCCGATAATTCCATTTGAATTTTGATATCAGAAAGCATTATTGAACAGGGTCTAATTCTCCACTCTGAATATATATGGGAATTTGTGAGAAGGTGTGCTACGAGACAATGCATGATTATTACAGAGATTATAACAATCGATTTTAGAGTAGAGTCGGCGACGAGGTCGGCGATATTATCGAAAACCGTTTTTATTTTTTGAGTCATTTCGGAAAGTATTGAATGAAATATATTAGGCACCTAAATTAAAAATGGTGATGGTGCAGCCAAAAGATTTATTACACCGAACTATAATAACAACCTTAGAGATATATATATATATATAAACAAAAAAATAATATGTTGAATTATTGAAAAATACCTCGAAAAATACTATGTGTCTGTTGGTCGAAAAATGGTCGCGTAATATGAAATTCCTAAAGCAGCTATACCTATCTGATGTTTACTAATGACAAAATCGGAAATGTATAGATGTATGGTTATCGTTCTCAGCATCGGCACCAAGGTTGGCATCTCGGTTGGCACACAGTTTGTGTGCCCAAAGCTTGCATCCTCACTTGCATCTTAGGCTTTATATCCACTATAATAATCGAGACTATAATAGATGGAAGAATGGATAGGTCGAGGGATAGGTATATAAATATACCAAGATAGTTTTAGGAGGGTAGTCTGACTGACTAGTTAAGGTAGAATAATCTAAGGGTAGAAAAAATATCACAATATTTCTTCGTGTTCAAAATTTTGGCCTTAAATGAGAACTGAGAAATGTTTATTTCCTTCATCAAGACATCTATAAAAAATGGTATAAAAAATCACTTGTAGAAAAAACAGGTGACGAAATACGTACTAACATGAGATTGGTAAGAGGAGTTTGATCAATACATAACAGGTACATCCTCGGGTACATCATTAGATTCTTTCTCGGATTCTTTTTAACTATGCTGGTGAGGCATTCATTATTTTCACAAAGCAGTATCACTGTCTATTTGGGCAAAAAACACCGGTAACTCTGATTTCACAACAACAACTGGAGATCAAAATGGAAGGTTGACGGTTGAGTTTGTTTTTTTCGAGGCTTCTAATCGCATGATGGTACACGAAATATCCTACAATGACATTCATCATAAATATCGATAAATTTACACACTGTGACGCTACTGGAACTATTATTTCAAATTTAATTGCACTAGAAGAAGCTCTATATTATAATTTACAAAACCACAAAGTTTTATTAGAATTGAATAATGAATAAAAAAAACCATTTTTCATGGAAATATTGATACCCCGTATCTCGAAAACGAAGCAAGTTAGGACACATGTTTATATAAACTTCATTTCCTAAAATATCACAAGGAAACACACCACTTGATATTTTTCGGTGTTATTGAGATACACCTCGAGATACACCTTGCATAAATGAACTCAATGGAATGATATTAATATTATATCAAATTGGAGTAGGTGGCGCTTATAGTTTTGTCAAAAATAAGGTATTCTATACCTATTTCCGAATATACCTATTCCATAATCCCCGACTTTACTCTACATAATGTTTCAGGAACTTGCCTTCCTCATACGAGGTTTTTTAATCACTTTCTTCCTCCTTCTTCTGCTGTTATTGTTTTGACGAATTGTGAACTCTGTAAGCTCATTTTATAGGATATACAGTGAGGACGTAAAAAGTCCTCCCCCCCCCCCTTCAACTTTGAACGGAATAAGCGAGGGAACAAGTTAGCGAGGTCATGTAGAATTCAGGTAAAAGAGTTTATGGTGGATTTATACAGCAGTTTTAATTCACAAGATTAAAGTAGTAAGTATCAAGTCATAAGTCTTGAGAAGTTCATTCATTGCTTTTCATTATAAAAACGTTCATACAATTGTCATAAGCAGTCATAAGTTTAGAGTCATAAGAAAAGTTGGCCAACATTCATCTCTTACGACTAGAACTAATTTGCTCTGCGCATGAGCCGTGCGCTACCATTTGTAGTTTTGGTTTTGTATACATTTGTTTCCATGGAATCAAATCCAAAACAGATATTTTTAACTGCTGAATAATAGAATTGAACAATTCTGTGTCAAACATGTATAAAACTGATAAACAATAAGCAAAATGAGCTTATCATAATATGACAGTCCTTATTATCACGAGCGTCTCCCATATATCTGATATTTCTATATATATGGCGCATCGCCTTTACGATATCTCAACAAAAATGAGACCAAAATGAGAGGTACTCTTTGAATCTATCAGGACGGAAAGTGAAGGATGGAAACAGCCATATTGGTTTGACAAGTTTCGTATTATTTTGTCCCTACGGCATTAACGCCTATTCGAGCGCCTATTGGTAGATTTCGTTACCTATAGAGACAGAAGTTGGTCCCGCTTTGAGGACAGCTATGCTTCATATCGTCGCCTCAGAGCAACAGTAGGACATGTGAAAAATTTGGGCTTTCGGGGTTATTGAAGATTTTGAATCATAAACTACCTCGGCATCTAGTGGAATACTGAGACAAGCCTTATGACGTCATAATATATTTTATTTTTAACATAACTTTGTGTTACACAAGTTCCCATTTCGATATCGAGTTAATGCAACAGTAGGTTATGATAACACTGTAGCACTGAGATTCTCGCGCGAGTGCATTAGTTATCCATGGTTATCCTAAGGTTGCTCTATCGCCCAGCTTCGATACTTGAACAACATGTCTATTTCTGTTTAGTATTCTGGAAGCGATTGAACTGATAGCAACGTCTTCAAAATATTTTAGTTTCTGTTGGTCTCAGTGAATATTCACACAAATATGTACCCAGAGATTGAGATTAAGTTGCATTAATTCCAGCCTACAACAACCCACTGCCTGTACTAAACAATAAGAGGAATGATTCGATCAGCTTGTGTGATCTGAATTTGATACCAAAAAAACATCACCATTTTTTTTATCTCTGAAAGAAACAACAACTAATGATAATAATAATTATGATCATGAATCTGGTTCAGTTATTCTGTATGCGTCTGTTTTTCGTTCAATACTACTACTATTTACCAATTATTTTTTGTGATAAGCTCATTTCCCCAATGTATTCGAATTGAATCAATGAAAAATATGGGACAAGATGGAATTAATCACTTTTGCAGGATGATGTCCTAGTCAAAATGCTGATTATTCCTGAGGAACACTAAGTCAAGATATAAATCCATTTCGATATCCTATTAAATCGCATGCATTTCTATAGCAACAGTAAGACAAGTGGATATAATTATCTCTCAGCTGTTTCTTATTGATTTCGAATCATCATCATCTGGAATATACTTGGAAGTTCAGAAAGTGTCCAAAATTTCACTGAGATGCGTTTACTAGATCCTGACATATGTGTGATTGAAGTTATCATGAAAACTTAAAATCGAATTTACTCGAAACTAAGATTTTGTTGATGTCCTACTGTTGCTCTGAGGCGACGATATATGAGTAGTAGATATATGGCGTCTCCCGACACAACCATCTTGGCACATCCAAGGTCAAATATTGTACTACATGAAGCTTAATAGTGGCGCCAATTTATGAAATCAACTTCGTAATACTTATCTCGTCAATATTTTGGTACGAGACATAAAGGACTCTTCAATAAAGGTAGAAATGAGGAAAAGTGGATTTACTTACAAAGAAAATAAATTAGACATAGGACTATTAATTCTTGTATAAATATAAAATGTAATAAGTTCCAGAAATATAAATGTTCCGAGAAATATTCAATACGTCAATAAACTATCGATATCTAGAACAATATCTGTTATGAATAGGTTATGAAGGAATCCTAAAAATCAGTTTTATTCAAAAGACTACCGATTATATCTTTTCGCTCAAGAGTACTTGGTTCTCGACTTGGTTTTTTGAATATTGAAGCATCTTTGGTTCTTTTCTTCTTAGTAGAAAATAGACGCACTTGCTTGTCTGTTTTTTTTATTAGTAGATACCTTTTAATGATTTGCTTTGTTTCAAAATGACTAGCCTTTCCTTCATTCGTTGTGTCCGAGGTTGTGTCTATAATTTTATCGCAATTATTCAGAATATATCGATGTTGTTCTTCAGATAGGGACATTGATGCATCACACATACCTATTATTAATTCACACCTCCTTTTTACTTTTTATATCCTCCATTCCAAATATAAAATTATAAAATATACTCAATTGAGTCGACAACTTCTACGCGCTAACCGAATCCTCTATTCGAAAAAATCAAAATATTTTGCACCACTTGACATTGACATATAACAAATCATATCCGACCTTGGATGTGCCAAGATGGTTGTGTCGGGAAACGTTCATTTTTTATCACTGCTTGAATCACCATTTTCCCCTCACTACTCAAAACCGCTTAAAACTTACGACTTGAAACTCAAGACTTAAAACTGCTGCATAAATCCACCAATT